GGGGGAAGGAGTCTAGTAACAGAAGAATTTCAAGATAATTAGGTGTGTGCGTGTGGCTTTTTAAAAATAAGCATGAAAAGAAAGTAATCCTGTTGGTGAGAAAAGGAGAAAGAGTGGGAGGACGCTTGTGTGGTCTTTTTCCTTCAGACTTGAAGATCAAGAGCTATATTACAAACGTAGTAAAAATGAAAGGGAGCCAGGGCAAGGGTGAGAGAAAGAACAGTTTGAACAGCTGAGAAAGGGTTAACGGTTAGTTTACAAACTTCCCCATCTTGTTTAAACTCCGAGCATTCTAAGTTTTTTCATTCTCTTTTTACTAAAAATAGAACCATGAGAGAAATGAGCTATTAATGAGAACATCCTGAGACTATGGATGACTAAACACAGGCAAACACAGGTAGGCAGCCAGTCCCCAGCCACGAACGTGACCCACCCAGACAACGCCTAGTGCCCAGGGGGGCAAGGAGCCCACCTGAGCAGCCTTGGACATCAGATTAAAAGTCTATGCCCCGGGAAAATGTGAGAGATCCCAGCCACTGACTTTTAAAAAACACAATTTCCACAGGAAAGAGAAAATGAGGGAAATGCCAACCCCTCCACCCCCCAAACCCAGAGGGCAAATCCTTCTTAACAATGAGCTTTATGATTTTAAATCCTCCCTCTGAAGGTAGATGTCAAGATAGGCATCTCCCCACTCCTCCTGGGACTGAATTCCCACGTGGGAGCAAACAGCTGTCCTGAATTCCTGGTTTCTCTCCCAGCTGAGCTGCTACCCGTGGGGTCTGCGATGCCCCCTCCAGGTGCAAACACAGCCCTGAGCTCGCCTACCTGGGGGGTTGCCAAGTGGGCGGGGGAGCTAGAGCAGGGGAGCAGTGAGCTGGCCTTCCCTGTCAGCTTGAACCCTAGAGTCCCCCCTGCCCCCTCCCTCCCCTCCAGCACCGTCTTCTCTCTCCTGACCCCTCAGTGATGCAGCTATTGGACCAGACCGGTGGGGGGAGGGGAAGGAAGCAGGTGCCTCTCCACTTACTGATGGGGAGGACTATGATGGGGATGTTTTTGGGGCGCTTGCTGTCCTTGTCGATGAACTCCCCGGTGACGGTTTTCTCGCGCTCGGTCACACGGCAGTTGTATTTCCCGCTGTCATCCTGGCGGAGGTGGAAGATCTTCAGCACAAAGACACCGTCGCTCTCTTTGGCCACTTTGAGCTGTCCCCGGGCTTCCCGGTGGGCGAACTCGCTGTTGAGGATGGGCACAGCGTTCGGCCCCATGCTGGCGATGAGCGAGCTGTTGAAGGCCCAGGAGACGGCAAAGTAGCGGTCGGGAATGTTCTGTGCCTCCAGGATGCAGCGGAACTCAGCCGGCTCCCCCGTGGTGTACAGGCGTTTCTCAGTTTCCAGCCGCACCATGAATTCTTTGTCTGAGGAAACAAACCGCAACGCGGCACAACTGGATGAGTGAGGGCCCCGGCCACCCAGATGCATGGGCACAGTCCCACCACCCGTGCCCGCTTCCCAGGCTCACTCCAGGGAAGCCACCACCGCACCCAGGGAACAAGAAAGTGCTGGAAGGTCACAGTGGACACTCGAGGTAGCCAGACCCAGACGGTGTGAAGGCCTGTTATCCCAGTCAAGACCACTGGGCTCTGTCTACAGCTTATACCGCCCTGGATTCGACCCCCGAAAGTCAGTAAGGAATTCCGAATTATCACCCACCTGGCAGAGCACCAAGGTCCAGCCTTGACCTCTACCCCGGAACTCCACTAGCCACATGACTACACATATTTTCAGCAGATGAAATGGGACTTACCCCACGGGGGTTTGTGAGACAGTTATATAGTGGCCTAGGTGCTGAATCCCCAACCCCAATAACTCAAATATTAATATACTGAAATACAGTCTTCACCCCCATGTGAATACCAGAAATAAGTCACAAAACTGCACAGGAAAAAAGAAAACTAATAGCTTTTCAGTAGTCACCACCTGTCAAATCTTTAGAAAGGTGTCGCCAAAAGTACCTATTTACACGGAAAGCGGGAACACCTTTGAAACAGGCAACAAACCCAAGCCCCCTTCTCAGAGCCGGGTGTCTGATCCGTCATGGGGGTCGTGTGATCCACGAAGAGCTCGTCACCACCAGCGTGTCCCAGCACCCGTGCAATGGCGCGTGGTGACTGTCACTTCCATGGGACAGTTCTCCTCTCTCATAGGCACCCATAGCCGGGGGCGGGGGGAGGGCGAAGCGGGGGGTAAGACAAAGGAGTCAAGTGCTGGAGAAAACATTCTGTTCTAGAAAACAGGACCAAAGAGCTGGGGTCTGGGGAGGCTATCACTGTAACCAGCATCCAGTCCCTCCTCCAGCACGTGGGGCTTCAGGCTACTTTCCCGCTTTCCTCTCGTCACTTGTCACTCGTATCTGGAACTCAACATCTACCAATACTCAACTGCTCTCTGCTTACCCAACATGCCAAACAATCGCAGGCTTCTCCCCCTGCTCTCCTGCCAAGACTCAAGGCTCAGTACAAGTCACCAGACTTGTTGGTGGCCCTGGATGTGCCTTAACAACAGCCCCCTCCGGGGAAACAGTGGTGTAGACACACTTCACATTCACCGTGTCCCCGGAGCGCTCTCTGCCCGATCGCAGCACTTAGCACCCTGCTCTCAGCCGCTGGCTGTCCCACCGGCCGGCTCCCTGCGTGCAGGAACCCAGTGTGAATCATCTTTGAATCCCCAGCACTACCACCACACCTTCAGTGCTGCAGGGACTCACTGGGTGTTGACTGAAATGAATTACGAGAAGGCCATGCTGGGGCGGCAACCACTGAGCCTGAACAGCCAGGGGCCCAGAGCGAAGCCATCAACATTCATGTCATCGAGTTTTCCTTGGGCTGGCAGTAGTCTGGAGATATTTGCTGGACAAATTTTAAAAACTCCTAATTCCAAATTGGTACGATTAAAAATAAAGTAGATTAGCTGGTGCAACCCAATTTAAAAGCATTAAGACTCCAAATTTGGTCCAGACTTTTGAAGCTGATAGTAAAACCATCCTGGAAGGGAAAGATAAATAGGAAATAAGGTGCCGTCTGGAGATTTCTTGGTACTGGAAGATACAGAAGCTGCCAAATGCTCTGGGTCCTACAGACAAGGTGCCACCTCTACAGAAGCCCACCCCTTCTCATAAAAGCCCTCACATCCATCCGCTGCCAGAGAATCCCTTCTGCCCTATGACCTCCAGAGCTGCGCTTGACAAAACTCAGACCGTGGAGCCCTAGCAGGTTTGGCTCGGGATAGTGTCGGCCTGCAGACCGAAAGGTTAGGGGTTTGATTCTGGTCAAGGGCACGGGCACGTGTGGGAGGCAACCAATTGGTATGTCTCTCTCTCACATCGGTATTTCTCTCTCTGTGTGTGTCTCTCCCCATCCCTTCCACTCTCTCTCTGAAAATCAATGGAAAAATATCCTCAGGTGAGGATTAGAAAAACACAAACAAGCTGTAGGAACAGACCACGGAAAATTACCCGGGAAGGATGCTGGAAACCCAACTCCCAGGCCCCACCCCGGAGCTGGCTCAGGAATCTGCCCTGTCAGGTGAGTGGGAAGCCCTCTAGAATAACAGAAGATTATGGAAAGACCAAGACCATTGACCTCAGCAAATGGGACAGGGAGGTCAGGGGACAGGTGATGACAAGGGGACCCCACACGCACCACAGACTCCCACAGACCCCTCCTCCACTCCCCGGGACAGCTGTAGCCTCGCCCCCGAGGTCAGCAGAACACAAGGAAAGGCTCCTGGGCCATCACCACACCTCCTTAACCACACAGTGACCGCCCTCAACCAAAGCCAGGGGCCCCAAGGCCCACAGAGAGCCTACTCCAGCCCAGCCTAGGCAGCAGCAACAACAGGCTGGATGCGGGGGCCAGACGCGGGGGCTGGGGGTGCAGTCTGACCCTGCGGGAGGATAACATGAGCAGCAGGAGGGTCTAGGCCAGCCGTGGGCAAACTACGGCCCGTGGACCAGATCCGGCCCGTTTGAAATGAACAAAACTAAAAAAACAAACAAACAAACAAAAAACCGTACCCTTTTATGTAATGATGTTTACTTTGAATTTATATTAGTTCACACAAACACTCCATCCATGCTTTTGTTCCGGCCCTCCGGTCCAGTTTAAGAACCCATTGTGGCCCTCGAGTCAAAAAGTTTGCCCACCCCTGGTCTAGGCTCATGGAGCTGCCATCACCTTGACCCAGCTCTTAACTCGTCACTCATCCTCCTCCGGCAATACCCTTCCGAAATCTTCCCCCCGAGACAGCATTTATGGGGATAACAGTGCTCCGGGAGCTGCCTCAACAACACACCAGGACTCCTCCTGGGGCCCTACCAGCAAACCACCAGCATACGCATCTTTCCTACTTACCTCCCAGAACTGTGAAAGAATGGTGACAGTGCATCTTGAAAATCATCAAACACCACAAAAGAAATAATATAAAAAATAACCACATTGCCCAGCTGTCTACCTATGAACCAGGAGGTCACCGTTCCATTCCCAGTCAGGGCACATGCCTGAGTTGCGGGCTCCATCCCCAGTAGGGGGCATGCAGGAAGCAACCAAACAATGACTTTCTTGTCATTGATGTTTCTCTCTCTCTCTCTCTCTCTCCCCTTTCCCCTCTCTGAAATCAATAAATATATCCTATATAATAAAAGACTAATATGCAAATTGAACGAATGGCAGAAGGAACGGTTGCTATGACACGCACTGACCACCAGGGGGCAGACGCTCAAAGCAGGAGCTGCCCCTGGTGGTCAGTGCACTCCCACAGGGGGAGTGCTGCTCAGCCAGAAGCCCTGAGCCGGGCTCACAGCTGGTGAGTGCAGTGCAGGGCGGGAGCCTCTCCCGCCTCCACAGCAGCACTAAGGATTCCGACTGACGGCTTAGGCCCGCTCCCCTTCTTGGCCTAAGCTGTCAGACATCCCCTGAGGGCTCCCAGACTGCGAGAGGGCACAAACCAGGCTGAGGGACCCCTGAGTTCACAAATTTCGTGCACCAGGCCTCTAGTATGTAAATAACCACTGATGCCAATATTTTTCTAGCCCAGGATTTCGTACCTATGATGGAAGGCTCACAATCTCAAATGGCCTCTAGACAGAAACAGGATTGGTATCCGAAGCAGGCAATGCCACCAAGGGGGCAGGCGCGTGGCTAATGGAACCCAGTCCTGGGCCCCATACATCCCTCAGCTTCCTCTGGCCCAAGGCGGGACCATCTCTAACTTCACGTGAAAACCTCACGCACTTTCCGGTGTCACTGAAGAAGGGGTCTGCGCACCCTCTCCATGTCTGACAACCCTCCCCACCGGGTGGAGAACGGGGACGAGAGAGACTGACCTGTGGGCTGGACGGTGACCACGGTGCCCTCGGAGCGCTTTCGGGTCATGGCGTACCACGAGCCGTCGGGATCCTGGATCCACTCGGCGGCCTCGCAGTAGAACTCGCCCTGGTCAGACGGCTGCAGGTGGAAGACGGTGAGGCGGAAGGTGCTGCTCCCCAGCTTGTCTAGCCGCACCTCCCCCAGGCTCTGCCGCTGGGCGTACTCGCTGCTGGAGTGGAGCACGAAGTCTCGGCTCAGGGCGATGACCTCCACGGGCCTCTCGCTGCCTCTCTGCCGGAGCCAGGCCACAGACACGTGGCTGTGCTGGACCGTCTCGGTGGCCACCTCGCACGTGAGCTCTAGGGGGTCCTGCTCCACCTTGTGCAGCGTCTGGGGCACGGCTGTGGTCTGCAGGGAGTCTGGGATCACTGTAACAGAGCATCGCAGTGCACGGTCACAATGAAGCCGCAGAACATACAGTCCCAGGAACAGAACGTAAGCTGTCCTGCTTTGGGCACATCCTGAGAAACAGGGTTCTTTGCAAAAGACAATAATGCTCGGAAAGCCCTAGCCGGTTTGGCTCAGTGGATAGAGCGTTGGCCTGCGGACTGAAGGGTCCCGGGTTCGATTTCGGACAAGGACACATGCCCAGGTTTCAGGCTCGATCCCCAGTAGGGGGCATGCAAGAGGCAGTCAATCAATAATTCTCTCTCATCATTGATGTTTCTATCTCTCCCTCTCCCTTCCTCTCTGAAATCAATAAAAATATATTTAAAAATAATAATAATACTGGGGAAAATGGAAGTCAGCAGAAAAAGAGGAAGACTGAAGCCACAGGCATGAGTCCACAGGAGCTGAGCAGAGCTGTTGAGGACAGGACAGGACATGTGGACATCACTCAGTCAGAGGGCCCCCAGGGGTCGGAGCAGACTCAACGACAGGTAACAGCAAAGCTCCCACCCCATGCAGCCTCCACCCATCGCTGCAAGGCCACGGATGACCCAAGATAGCACAGAAATGGAAGTTTTCTGTTTGGATCTGGACTGCAAGTTTCTGGCAATTACTCTTAACTGTCTGGTGATTTTCATAACACTCAGACAAAAGATGGGTTGTATTTGATTTTAAACGAACTCCCTAAAAATGCTGTGTACAAAGCATGTTCTTTTAGGGGAAATTAGATTTTATTGTTCATTCTGGTACTTCCTTCAAGATACGTGAAATTGGCTTCTGACTGATCTTCAAACGGAAATTGTTCCTGGAACTCGGGGAGTTTTTATCTCTATACAACTTCCTCAATTCCTCCCTTCCAGCCACCGCCCCACATCCCCTCAGCTGATCTCAACAAGGCATTTCGCTAGGAAGGCTATTATTTAAAAAAAAATTTTTTTTGATAGAAAAAAGCATCATCCTCCTTGATTTTAACAGGTTCAATTTTCATGTAATTGAGGTGCCAAGTGGTCCACACTGGCAGGAAGCCACCGTAGGGGGATGACCCAGGCACGGGAAGTGGCCCTGTGGTTCCTTGGTCAGAATTCTTCCCTGGGGACTAAACACTCCCTGCCACCTCTGACTGATGAAAACACCCCAGTGTGTGTGATTTCTCAGGGTTGGGTTACAGGCCTCCTGCCGGGGTGCAGACTTGTCAGAAAGGAAAAGTCACCGAAGGAAGTTGGGGGTGGAGGGAGTGGGCAGAAGGAAGTGTGTGCCAAGAGGAAGGATCAATAATTCCAGTTTTTATTATCACAAGTAAGCCTGGAAATTATGACTTGGCATGGGAAAGCAAGAGCTAGCTCACATAGGGCCTTGCAGAACCTAGTGAAGAGCAGAATTTATTCTAAATGTGGCTGACGCCACTAGAGAATTTTAAGCATGGAAAGGACATGATTTGATTAATGTCTTAAAAAATCATTCCGTTACTGTCAGAGAAGAGACTATGACGGCAAAAGAAAAAAAAGAAAAGAAATTATGACTTGGGCAGAAAAACAAAACAGCCTGGATAGTGCTAACCCTTCCCCCGAGATCCCTTCATCGCTGGGGACTCGCCCACCAACGGGTGCCCATGCCCCACTCGTGGAGCCAGGTCACCGAACACCCAGGGCGGAGCAAGGACCTGCAGCTGCACTCACTTCCTGACCCCATGGCGCCCCCGCATCCCAGAGCCCAACTCTGAGGTTTCACCTCTCTTCCCGCTGACGTCATAGGCTTCATCACCCTCGTCATGTCTTCAGGCGAGCAACCACAGACATCCTTGCCTCGTGTTTTCATATCCCCTTTCACCAGCTAGAGGCCTCGTCAACCTTCTCGGAAATACTTAACATCTGCTTTAGATCTTTGCTAAGTTTCAGCCTTATCAAGGAACACAAGCTTTATTCTTTTACGTGACTGGTTGACCTCTAAAATATCTGGGGAGGTGTTTTTTTTTAAAGTCAAATAAAGCTGTACTCTGAAAGAATTAACTCCCCCCGCCCCCTTCCTTTCTCTAAGCATGTCCTCAGTGAGGATTTTAAGAGAGGGAGAAGGAGAAGAGGAGGAGGAGGAGGAGGAGGAGGAGGAGGAGGAGGAGGAAGAGGAAGAGGAAGGGAAGGATCAGTCCAAGAGAAGTGAGTCAATGTTATGGACTTTGAATAGGATTAGTGTCCCTATAAAGGGACCTCAGCGTGCTCCCTCGCTCCCTCCACCATGTGAGGACACAATGAGAAGTCAGCAGTCCACAACCTGGAAGAGGGCTCCCACCAGAACCCATGAGGCTGGCACCCAGTTTCCCCAACTGTGAGAAATAAATGCTTGTTGTTTAAGCTGCTCAGTCTACAATACTTTGTTACAGCAGCCAGAACTGACCATGACACGCAGGCAGGCAGGACACTGGCCACATACCGACAGCTCTCTCCTTACCCACTAGGTTCATCTTGGCGCTGTAGCTCCCGAAGTATCGCTCGTCGGTGTTGGGCGTGAAGCATTCGTACTCGCCGGCATCGCGGGCCTGGAGGTCGGTGATGTGCAGCAGGGCTGAGTTCCCCTGGATTCTCTCCACGTAGATCTTCCCGCTGCGCACACGCTGGGTGTAGATGGCGTAAGGGAAGGAGGAGTCCACGGTGCTGACGATCTGGACCTCGCGCTCTGGGGCCGAGGGCAGGTAGATGGACCACTGGAAATTCTGCTCGGAAGATCCCTGGTAGCCGCTCACGTTGCACCAGATGGTGATGTGGGAGCCCTCCGTGCGGTACAAGGGGCCTTCCTGGACGGCGACTTGCCGCTGTGCTGTCACTACACCTACAGGGGACACACACACAACAGGCTCACTTAGGACTCCGACCAAAAGCAAAGGAGGCAGCAATCCTAAAGGGTTTGCTGTTTGTGTGGCAGGACAGTACCATCAGGAGCTCGCTGGCGCTTTCGGAGGCGCTCTGTGACCGGTTTGGCTCAGTGGATAGAGCATCAGCCTGCGGACTCAAGGGTCCCAGGTTCGATTTCAGTCAAGGGCATGTGCCTTGGTTGCGGGCACATCCCCAGTGGGGAGTGAGCTGATCAATGTTTCTGGCTCTCTATTCCTCTCCCTTCCTTTCTGTGAAAAATCAATGAAGTATATTTTTAAGAAGGAAAAAAAAAACCCTCCGTGGGAAAGCACGGTCCCTAGCTGGCATGTGCGGGGATCTGACCGCACGAGGACGTGGTGCTGCTACTTATTCAGCAGCTGACCCTTGGGGAGGTCATTTAGTCCCTGTTTGTCATTTACGTGGCATTTTAGAACTATTTACATTAAGTCTGCTTATAAGGTTTTTGACAAAATGAGCAGGAAAAGTTGAATGAATCCTGGCACAATTCAGATGGAAAGGAGTAGAAACAACCTTGCGATCTGGCTGAAATGAAATGCCCCTTTCTCGCTTAGAGGGCTGGCGGGGAGGGGGGCAGAACAGGCCCCTTCTTTTGGCTGCACCCTTTATTCTCAAAAGTCGATCCTCCAGGACACCCTGTGGAGGAGCACGCAGTCCTTACTCCCTCTGCCCGCCAGGAATGGGGACAGCGCTGAGCCCTCGGGTGCGGCAGCTCTGAGCTGAGCACACGTGAACTTGAATGACACCCACACACTGACCAGAGGGAGCTGAGCGCAGACAGGTGACACGCAAGTATGGCTGCCCTTGAGGTCACAGCTATGATTCACCCACCAGCCCTCGTCTTCTGGCGGGAAATGCTCCCCGACAGTGGCCCCTGCCTGCCTTCCCCGTGTTCTTATCATGGTCTCCCTTGCACACTCGGGAACGGGGCGATAGGGTACGTTTAACTTCTCCTCACAACACTGATTCTGCTCAAGTCACTGAGAACGTGGGAGTGGACAACCCTTGGACCTCCCCGTGGGCAGAAAGAGCAGGTGAGGGGTAGGCACAGCTTTGCTGGGAACTGGAATGGGCTGTCACCCTGGACAAGCTGCTTTGCACTCGGGACCTTGGTCTCCTCATCTATACCATGGTTTCTAAGAAGGCTTTGGAGCAGACTAGCATGTGTGGTAAAGGCTGACTTTGTCACTTCCTAGCTGTGACTTTGGGCGCGTCACTTCTCCTCTCGGAGACTTAATTTCCTCATCTGTCAGCTGGGGATGATAAAGTGTGCCTCGCAGGGCCTAGCCCATGACTAGTCCTCGGAAAAGAGCTGCTGGCCTAGGCGCCTCTGGCTGGATCATTCTGTGCCTCAGGATCCAGAGGACAGGCCAGTGATAACGCAAGGACATCCCAGTGGCCTCTTGTCAGTGACACCATCTCTGGGCCACCCACCTCCACGCCCGGCTGTAGCCCACTCCCTCCCACGCAGAACCACAGCTGCCCCAGGGTAAACCTATGTGCCGTGGATGCAGCTGGTGAGCAGCTGGGATAGCTCACATCCTAGTGGGCTCAGCTCGAAGCCCTGCCCGGGGGTGTCTGTGCTCCAGCCGCTGATCTAACATGCAAAATGACCGACTTTCAAACAGACCTTACAAGGAAAGGCTGTGGCTCGTAAACTTACTTGCAAAGAATCTCTTCTCCCAAACAAAACCTTCCACACAACCCTGTCTCAGCTTCAGCAGGGAAACTAAAAAAGTGTGTGTGTGTGTGGGGGGGGGGGTGCGGGGGGTGTTTACAAATCAACAGATCCAAGTGGCATATGAATTTACTCTATACATCCTGGTCGACAGCATTCCTTTCTACACTGAAAAGTCGTGGAGAAGACAGCTGGTTAGTTATTTACCGTTAGTATGTTAACGTTCGCTGCATCACACTGAGACCACGTACCCTTTAGGACACTTTGAAACACTGAGCTGGTGACATGTGAACAAATGTCTGCAGCGCTCCAGAATCGCAGAGACTTTGAAAACAATGTAAGCACATTTAACTGCTTAGGGCTCCTTGATCTCAGTGCTCTGTGACTGGGCAGCTGTGACCACTCCCCACCCGGTCACTCCCACCCGCTGCTGAGAAGGCTGGAGGCGGGTCAGGACCGGCCAGCATCTTGCTTGAAGGGACTACCTCTCAACCATGGGCCCACCCTGGACTCTGCTGGGGAGCTTGAATAAATAACCCTGCCTGGATCCCAGACCAGGGTCAAGGCCGCTGCCTTAAGATGTCTGCTTGCCCAGTGCCAGCCAGGTGCCCAAATGAAAGAACCTCTGCTAATTCAAGGCTCTCAATCGCTTTAAGCTCCTCCCTTCAGAAAGACTCCACGTTGGTTTGGATGAAGTAAGTGTCTTTCCCTGTAGGGAGAGGGCAGAAGCAAGCAGCACCCGCCATCAGATACGACTGTGATGCAATACAGAGCTCCCCCAGAGTGGATCCTATTGACAGACCTTACAAAAGCACTCGATCCTCGGATCCTGCTCATTGCTCTCCCGAAAGTTAAACAGTGTTAAGTGGCCTGAATGAGCCTGGGGCATCAGGGTCAAAACCACTTGTCCAAGCCGGAAGCAGGTTATAAACGCCCTGAGAAATAAATACTGGACTGTACTTTAACCAAACACATTCAGCTGCACCTGCTTCCGCTTATGAAATATCTCCTTCAGTCGCTGAAAATAATGCTGTTCTTAGGAAGTGGACCTTAACATAGGAATAAAAATTAACCTTTTCTTCTCAGCAGCGTATTCCCCTTCCACACCCTGCCCCACCCATTTCCTTCCCCTGGCACTGGCCCTGCTGGGCAGAGCTCCTCCTACACACGGCTGCCTTCAAACAGGCCCGGTCCCCAGCCCTGGCCAAGGCCTCCCTGGCCCAACCCCTTCCCCATCTTCCCTCTCAGCCTAGCACAGAGGCTCCTCTGAGCAGGGTTCGCCTTTTCCTTTTAGATAACCATTTTTACTTTTGACATTCCTGCACTCCTTGAATTACTTAGCAGCACACAAATATCACTTCTGTAATTCAAAAAGAAAAGATCAAAGTATTATATATAACTGTATAAAGAGAGCTAGACACAAAAGGCAGAAGAGAAGTGGAAGATAAAAATAGGAACAAAAAACAAATAAACAAGGGCAACAAATAAAAATAGTAATGGATATGGTAGATATCAGTCCAACTATATCGATAATCACTTTGTCAATAGTCTAAATGTAGCAATTAAAAGACAGATTGTCAGCCTGGCCGGCATGGCTCAGTGGTTGAGCAATGACCTATGAACCATCAGGTCATAGCTCAATTCCCGGTCAGGGCACACGCCCAGGTTGTGGCTTCAATCCCCAGTGTGGGGCATGCAGGAGGCAACCCATCAATGATTCTCTCTCATCACTGATGTTTCTATCTCTCTCTCCCTCTCCTTTCCTCAATCAAACAAATAAAAAAATATATGTATATATTTTAAAAACAATAGAAAAATATCCTAGAGTGAGGATTAAAAAAAAAGAGGGGGCGTCAGGGGGCAAAGTCCTTAATAGACACTTCACCAAAGAAGATATACAGATGGCAAGTAAGCCCATGACATCAGATGTCATCAGGGAAATTCAAACTAAAACAACGATGAGATACCCTATTACTATTACTATTACTATTACTATTACTATTACTATTACCATTACCATTACTATTACTATTACTATTAGAATGGCCAAAATAAAGAACACTGACACCACCAAATGCTGGTGAGGATGTGGAGTAGGAGGAACTCTCATGCATTGCTGGTGGGGATGCAAATGGTGCAGACACTGTGGGAGGGAGTTTCACAGTATCTTACAAGACTAAATATATCCCTCCCATACAATTCAGCAACAGCACTCCTTGGTATTTACCCAAAGAAATGGAAATCTTGTCTACACAAACCTGCACATGGATATTAATAGCAGCTCTATTCATATTTGCCAAAACGTGGAAGCATCAAGATGTCCTTCAGAGGGTGAATAGATAAACTGTGGCACACCCAGACAAGGCAATCATTAGTCAACACTAAAAAGAAAGGAGCTGTTAAACCATGAAAACACACAGAGGAAACGCAAATGCATGTTCCTAAGAGCAAGAAGCCCATCAGAAAAGGCTCCCCTGCATGCGTCCCAAGTTGATGACATTCTGGAAAAGGCAAAACTATGGAGACAGTAAAAGGATCAGTGTTTGCAGCGGCCGAGGAGAGGGACAGGAAAAGCACAGAGCGTTTGCAGGGCGGTAAAAATACTCTCGATGGTATAATGATGGGTACATGTCATTACACATGCATTTGTCCAAACCCATAGGATGTACAGCATCCAGAGTGAACCCTAAGGTAAACTATGAACTCTGGGTGATTATAATGGTGTCAATGTAAGTTCATCGTTTGTAATAAAGAAAATGCCCCTCTGGTGAGTGATGCTAATGGGGGAGGCTATGCCTGTGTGGGGGCTGGAGGGCATGTGGAAAATCTCTGTATCTTCCTCCCAATTTAGCAGAGCACAGTTCCTCCCATTGAGATTTTTTTAAAGTCTTTGTTAAAGAGCAGTTTTAGATTTACAATAAAATTGAGAAGGATTTACTGTTCTTTTAAGCCTTAAGTTTGAGGAAATGTGTTTTATACTGATATATGACAAATATAGATACCTGTGGGTCCGGAGCTTAAATTTAAAATTGTGTCACATGTACATGTGTGTGCTTTTCTAGATTTCAAAAGGTTCTCAAAGAGATTCAAGGCCAAGAAAAAAGATTAAGAATCATTTGCTTTAGACAATAAATGGTCAGTGGGAAAGACCATGTCCTTATAGTGTTGTTGTTTTTTAAATCCTCGCCTGAGGATTTATTGATTTTAGAGAGAGGAAAGCGGGGAGGGGGGGCATTAATGTGAGAAAGAAACATCCATCC